GCAGGCAAGGGAGGGAGGGCAGGCAGAGACCTGGGAAGGCCAAAGACCAGGAAGCGAGAGTGCATGCTACGAAGGCGAGGCAGGGAGGGGTGACCAAGGCGGTGGTGCCACAGGAGAGTGTCGTGCGACAGCCGGCGACACTCACACTGGGTAGCTACCTGAGCAGACGCGTACAGCTGGGGAGACAAAGGGGTGGAGCGCGACGCAGTGGTGAGGGTGTACATACTGGACCCAGGCGCACGTGTGAACGTGGCCAGATGACGGCCGGTCCGGGAGCACGTGCAGATCGCCACACGCTGTCCTCCAGGAGTAAAGGTGTCAACCCAGTGATCCTAAAGGACGGCGTTGCTCACCAACTTCGTAGAGAACGAGGGGAGGTGGAGACCAGACAGCTCACCAGACGGGACCGCCGGACACGGAAGCACAGTGGAAGACCATGCAAGCACTGGGCCCCTAGAGGGGTCAGCCAGTGAGACACGAACAGGTGCAGGGAGGGGAGTGACTGTGGTGCTGTCGCGAAAGAAACAGCGGGAAGCACCAGAGTCAAGTGTGAAGGTGTGCAAGGCCTGTCCGGACGCAGTACCAGGGGGAGCAGAATCACAAGCACCTAGTGCCACAGGCGCTATACCTGGGGCTATACTGGGGTCAGGCGGCACACACAAGTAGCAGTCACCCTCAGCACTAACAGTCAATGCATGCATGGCAGCAAGAATAGCCTCATAGTGAAGATCAAAGATAGGTACATCACGCCTAAGCAGGTCTGCCCAGTTGGGGAACTCAGTAGCATCAGGAAACTTGATGCGCCAGGCGTCGCTAAGCCGAGCGAAGTAGCGGTACTCAGTGTGAAACCCTGTGCACTGGCGACCAGCGCGGGGACCTGCGCGAATGATATAGGGGCAGCGACCAGGACCCCCAGACGCCCCACGCCCGGCATACCAGTTAAGAAGCTGCTGGGAAGTGGGGGTCTGGCGCTGACGCTGCTGCGGCTGCTGCTGCTGTTGCTGCTGCTGCTGCTGCTGCTGCTGCCCCTGGCCACCACTGGTGTCACCCAAGCCCCCACCACCGCTGCCACCACCACTCCCCCCTCCGCCACCACCGCCGCCGCCACCGCCACCACTCCCGGCACCACCACCGCCCCCACCACCACCTCCAACCCCACGACCACCCCCACCACCTCCACCTCCCCCGCCGCCTCCACCACCGCCCCCTCCACTGCCACGTCCGCCACCCCTGCCACCCTTGCCTCCCCTAGAGCCGCTGCGCTTCCCACTAGGAGCGGAAGCAGCTGCGACCTTCTCAGCACCAAGGGGGTCGACAGCAGCAGCTGCGGAGGCGTAGGAGGGGGCAAGAGGGGAGGGGGAGCACCCCTCAAAGAGGGGAGAGCGAGGAGTACCACGAGCAGCACCTACAACGATGATGTTCTTCTCTGCTGCTAGGAGGTGCTTCTCGAAGTCGGCGACAGTGAGAGTGGTAGGGTCTAGGGCTAGGAAGTGGTCCCTGACGTAGCTAAGAGTGTCAGGGAGGCGGGTGACGAGGAAATAGAGAGTGGAGTACATCGGGGTGGGGGGGGGGGGGGGGTTGCGGCGCAGAACTCGGCTGGAAGGGCGGCACGAAAGCGAGTGTCACTAGTGCGAAGGTGAGAAATGAGGTCCTCAACAGTGGTAAACGAGGACAGGTCGGGGAACAGGTAGGGTAGCATGAGCCGACCTAGGGCTGCAGTGGCCGGGGAGGAACGTGACTAAGAGTCACTTTCGAACTTCGCACGTTCGGCCCACATCCATGATTCTGTCAAATGTTGTAGCCGTTAGTGATTTGTGTCATATGGGGTAACGCAGTTAGGCTTATGTACCCCAACCAACCTTAGTCAAACCATCATTCAGTTTTTGACATGTTATCACCCAGGTTCGGATCCTGTGGGATCCCGTTCCTCCCGCTCACGCCCGTAATGCCTGGGGCTGTCCCATACCCTAGTGTTGTCACGCTCGTACCGTTCCCTAGCGCCCGCTGCGCCTGCTGGTCCCGCCGCGCCCGCTTTTCCCGTCGCGTCGCATCCCCCCCCCCCCCACCCACCCACCCACCCCTGCCCGTCCCGTCCTCTGTAGGAGGCCATCTCTAAGTCCATGGCAGCTCTCCACTGAGAGGCCCAAGGCCATGACACTGCCTCAGCGTAAATGCGAGGAGCTAACTTCTTTCAGACCTTCGCGCCTACTCCAAAGATGACCACTCTTCTTGTGTTACTGCACGTAGCAGCACAGAGACTATGAGTTACACTTTCTCGACATCTCCACTGCCTTCCTTCGGGGTAGTCTATACGAGAAGGTCTGGCTGTGTTGTCCCTTTGCCTTCACTGGCCCTTTCCCTCCTGGGACCCAGTGGAGGCTGAGGTGACCGGTTTACGGTCGTCAAGCTCTTTGTGAGCGGCACGGCATCCTTTGTTCTACACTGTCTGACCTCGGTTTCCAGTCGTCTTCTGCCGACCCGTCGCTGTTCGTTCATCGTGGCTCCATACCGTTCTTTGTACTGGTCTACGCCGATGACCTGGTTTTCGCCACTGCTGAAGAGACACACGTGCACTGACCTTGGTGAGCTGCGCCACTACCTTGGCCTGCAGATTTCCAGGGACAGAGCCGCTCGCACCATTACACTCTCACAGTCACAAATGGTGCAGCAGGTCCTTCAGCGGTTCGAGCTTCAGCACTCTACAGTCTAGCGCACACATCTTGCCGTTGACCACAGACTCACTAGTCCCTTTCCTGACGAGCCGTTTGAGCCTAGTGGTCCTTACGCAGAGCTTGTAGGCTGCCTCATGTACCCTATGGCTTGTACTCGCTCGGACCTCGTCTTCCTCCTCAGCATTCTTGCTTGCTTTGTTGCGCCAATGAGACACCGTCCTGTTCACTGGACAGCTGCTATGAGGGTGGCGAAGTACCTAGCGACGACATCAGGCGTGGGGCTGGTTCTTGGAGGGGGCAGTCTATCGTACGTACTGGTCAATGTGACTCTTTTTACGAAGACGACTCCGCAACTCAGCAGTCTACTCAGGGGTACTGTTTCAGCCTGGGCTCTGAAGCTGTTTCGTGGAGGTCCACACGTTCCTCCTCAGTCTCGACATCTACCGCTGAGGCTGAGATCTACGCTGGAGCCATGGCTGCACAGAAGCTGCGCTGGTTGACCTTCTTGCCCACTGACCTTTGTGAGCGGCTGCACCGACCTTGTTCACTGATAACAAGGCATCGATTCTTCTCTGTCAAGAGCCGCGACTGGAGAGTAGAGTGAAGCACATCAACGCCAGGTACTTTTTTTTGCGAGAGTTGCAGAGGCGTGGACAGGCTCGCTTCGACTTTGTCGAGTCTGAGGCCAACACTGCAGACACCTTCACCAAGGCCCTTCCGCCTTGTGACCACCAGAGGTGTTGTGTGCAGTTAGGTCTTGTTGACACAGGTTCTCGTCTTGCGTAGACTTGAGTTCTCTACTTACTTTGTTCGTATACTTACCTCTCTGAACTCTTGAATTGGCCTTGTGGCCCTTTTGCTAGTGCTGACTGTGTGGTGACGTTGTGATGCACCCTGAGCTTTGCTGTTGTGTGACTGGTCTTGTAATCGTACGGTTTTGGTTTTGCTTGACACCCCTTTCTTAGGCTTATGGGGGTGTGTCATATGTTGTAGCCGTTAGTGATGTGTGTCATATGGGGTACATCAATTAGGGTTAGGTTTATGTACCCCAACCAACCTTAGTCAAACCATCATTCAGATTTTGACAGATTCCAAGGCTCCTCCGCGTTGCCTTCGGTTTTACCTTCTGGCGGAGTAAATAGACCGAACTGGTTTGTCGAGTGACCCTCGGGGTTGTAATCGCTAACGAGTGCTAAAGTAAGGATTTGTAAATCCTTACACTTTTACAGCTCATATCGGAACCAGTTTATTTTTAGTCCGAATATAGCGTGTTCGCTATGTTGGTAACTTGGCAATCACAGCAAAGCAAGCCGCTGCCTGCGCTAGCAAAAACAAGCGACGCGTAACAGATTCGACGCGCTCATCGCGCAGGTGGTTCCCCAACCCAAACTTTCCAGGCAAGGCAACCAATCGGATGGTTCTTCGCCTGTGAATCTTGCATTCCGTTTTGCCTGGAATTGCTCCAAGCCCATTTCCCAACAATCACAAAGAAGACTTGCAAGATTCCCTGAAAGCAGGCTCGTATTGTACAATGGTACCTTCACTTACTACGTCGTTCTTGCCTCAAGTGACTGATAGCGGAAGAATTAGTGACTGAATCTAGCGGATCTTCTTGCCGTGAAGTCATTCCCAATGGTCGGTCGTTGTCGTTACGTACAGTGATGGCCCAGTTTCTCCTCTTGTCTCGAGAGTTTTTTTCTCGAATCATGCTGTGGGCTAGTACTATAAGGGAATTTCGCTGCGCAACATAAAAATGAGTGGTAGCAAAGCGGTCTACATCGCGAAACCTCCTTCCCATCCCCCCTCTGCCTTTCACGTCCTCAGGTGAAGTCGTCGCGGGTGCTGCTCGGCCTCGTTGTGGCTTTCATATTCCTCGCGCTGCTGCCCTGCTCGGCGCATTCTGCTCGGTTCATTCAGCCGTCGGCAGCAGCGGCGGCGGCGGCGGAATCGGTGAGGGTGGCAGCGGAGGCGGAGGAGGATGTGCGGAGCTCCATCCCGCTGGCGCGAACGCTGGCGGAGGCGTCCGACATTGCGCCCGACGGTGGGGGTGCGTTCCATGCCGCTCAAGGGCAGAAGCGAGCGGTGGGGACTCCACCACCGGATAGCGGATAGCGGGCAGTGCGTGGGGTGCTGTACGCTCCCCGCGATGCTTCTAACAGAATTTTTTATTCTCGTCTTGCATCTGTATCTCCGTTCTTTGGTTGGAGACCTGTTGTTCCCTTGCTTCCTCGCTTCCGTTCCAACCGTGAGTTTTCCGCATCGACTCGCACGCGCCATTTGCACGTCCCCTTACGTGTGCTACCCGCGCCCACAGGAGCCGTCCGGCGCATGTTAGACGGCGTTCAGTTGGCCGCGACGAGCCCCGAGGAGAGCGACCTGGTGGTCATCGGCGGCGGGCCGGGCGGGTACGCGGCAGCCATCAGAGCCGCGCAGCTGGGCATGAAGGTCACGTGCGTTGACAAACGCGGCTCGCTGGGCGGCACGTGCGTGAACGTGGGGTGCACTCCATCCAAGGTGCGAGAACGGGTGTAGAAACGGGCTAGGCCGGGCAGTGATTCGTGGGAGCTTTGTGATAACGCACGGATGAATGCGGCAGTGCCTCACCTTTTTCCCTCTTGCCTCCACCAGCGCTTTTTTCCACCGCTGAAGGCATTACGAGCTGTTCCTTGCATCCATGCACCCATGGACACATGCACCCATGCTCCCGTGCCCCCGTGCTTTCATGCGCCGATGCACCATGCACCCACGCTACCATGCTCCCATGCTCCCATGCACCCATGCTCCCATGCTCCAATGCTTCCGTGCTCCCATGCTCCCATGCTCCCATGCCCCCTGCCCCCCTTCTTCCGTGCTCCCATATTTCCATGCTCCCTGCTCTCCCATTCTCCCATCCCATGCTCCCATGCTCCCATGCTCCCATGCTCCCATGCTCCCATGCTCCCATGCTTCCATGCTTCCATGCTCCCTTGCTCCCATGCTCCCATGCTCCCATGGCCCCTGCCCCCCTTCTTCCGTGCTCCCATGTTTCCATGCTCCCTGCTCTCCCATTCTCCCATCCCATGCTCCCATGCACCCATGCTCCCATGCACCCATGCTCCCATGCTCCCATGCTTCCATGCTCCCATGCTTCCATGCTTCCATGCTCCCATGATCCCATGCATTCAGACCCTCCTGCACCTATCTAACAATGCACTTGTGGATGCATCTCCCCATCGCTTCTCTCTCTCTCTCCGAACCCTCTGATATTCTAGCTTCCTAGAACCCCACCCTTTCCCGCCCCAATCATTAAGAGACAAAGCACTGCCTCTTCGCCTTCACCGCGTTTGCTGGTGCCTCTCCATTTCCTTTCCTCCCTGCAAGCAGGCACTGCTGGAGTCATCTCACATGTACGACGAGGCGCAGCACTCGTTGGCGGCGCACGGTGTGAAGGTGGCGGGCGTGGAGGTGGACCTGCCCGCCATGATGGCGCACAAGACCAGCGCCGTGGCAGGGCTCGCCAAGAACATTGAGGCACTGCTCAAGAAGAACAAAGTCACGTACCTCAAGGGCCATGGCAAGATGAGCGCGCACGACCGGGGAGACGGAGGGGATGGTGAAGATGATAGCAGAGAAGGCGACGGATAGAGTGGTGGGCGTGCATATCGTGGGGCAGAGTGCCGGCGAGCTGATCATGGAGTGCGTGGTTGGCATGGAGTATGGCGCGAGCAGTGAGGACATTGCGCGCATGAGTCACGGGCACCCTACGCTTAGTGAAGCGGTGAAGAAGGCTGCGCTCGCCACGTACAGCAAGCCCATCCACATGTGATGCAGTTTGTGTGAGGCATGTGTGACATGCACGTTCAAAAGGCCCTTGCCTCTGTTTGAAGCGCCCACATTTTGGCAGTGTTTGCAGCGGTACTCACTGCGCGAAGGACCGTAGTTTAGTGCTTTTTCTTGTTGGTGCATATTGTACATAATTGTTCATGAAGATGGCCTACCAGTACATGCACTGATTGGATGATTGTTTGCTAGCTCAGACACTACCTGTGTTTGTATCAAGCTTCTAGGCTTCTCTTTCATCAACATGCAATCTTAAAATGCTCCTGCAAACACGGAGCTTGATTGTGTTATCTTTCAGTCTCATACAAACTGTCAGATGTTAGTGTTAGTGATGTATGTCACATGGGGTACAACAGTTAGGGTTAGGTTTATGTACCCCAACCAACCTTAGTCAAACCACCATTCCGTTCTTGACATGGTATCACCTAGGTTAGGATCCTCTCGGATCCCGTTTATTCCGCCCTATCAGAACACGCCTGTGGCGCCTATAGCACCCGCCCGTCCCGTCCCGTAGCATCCCGTCCCGTAGCATCCCGTCCCGTCACACCCGTCTGTCCCGTCGCGTCGCGCCCGTCGCGTCTGCCCCCCCGTCCATCGCGTCCCTTCCCCTCCAGTCGCGTCCCCCCCCCCCCCCCCCCCCCCCCCCCACTCCCCCCACCCCCCACCCCCCCCCCCCCCCCCCCCCCCCAAATTTGCTAACAGCGTGCTTGCGCCTGCGCCCTACCTGTCACGTCATTACCTGGTCTCGTCCGTACGCGCCTGTTGCGTGCCTCCCGCGCGCCTGCAGTCCGCGCCTGCTGTGCCCGCCGAGCGCCTGCCGTGCTTGCCGCGCCCGCCCCGTCCGCACCTGCCCTACCCCCTTCGTTCGTCCCGTCCGCGCATGTTGCGCCTGCTGCGCGCCTGCCGTCCGCGCCTGCCGCGCCCGCCGAGCGACTGCTGCCGCGCCTGCTGCGCCTGCCGTGCCAGTCGCGCCTGCCATGCTCGCCGCGCCATGTGTGCATTCGCCTCCCGTCCTCGCTCGTCCGCGTTCATCGCACGTTCGCGCCCTGCCCATTCGCGCCCGTCGTTCCTTGCGCATTGCCTGTCGTGTCCGCTGCGCCCTTCCCGTCCAGTTACACTTCCGCTATGGTGACCCCTAGGGTCCTGCTCTTTGACGCCGAGGGTAGGCCGCTCGAGTTTTCGGTCTGGCTCCTGCGTGCGCGCCACCTTTTAGAGAGTCAGGTCCAGGCAGATGAGTCTCTGTGGGCGCACGCTTATGGCGACCTTCCTAAGCCCGACGACCCTGCACCCTTAGGCACTGACCCCAGCACTGCTCACAGAGACCTACCCGCCAGCGTGCTGACTTGACAGCGTGGAAGTCGCGTGACGCTGCGGCCTGCATCGCCCTCAGCAGCCTCCTCCCTGAGTCTGAGGAGGCCCACTTCACTCAGGTTCGCATGGCTAGTGAGTTCCTGACTGCGATCAAGGCCCGCTACGCTACTCCCACCACCGTCTCTCTTGGTCGCCTGTTCCTCCCGTTCCTGTTTCCTGACCTCGCCTCGTTTGAGCGCTCTGCTGACTTGATCGCTCATCTGCGCTCACTTGATTCTAGTTACCGCGCTGCCTACACTAACGCGCAACTTGCACTGCTCCCCCCCCCTATGGCAATTACTATCTATTTCATTGCCACTAGCCTCCCTGACCGCCTTGCCTCGGTTCGTGACGCGCTACTTCTGAATCACCCTAGCGAGCTCACTCTCGATGTCCTTGAGTCTGCCCTCAAGGACGTCGAGAGCAACCTCCGCTCGGTAGCCTCCGCCTCTGGTGCTGTGCCCCCTCCACTGTTTCACGTGTGATCTGTCCCTCAGCCACCCACCTTTACTGCCTCCCTCGCCACTGCCGCTACTGACGTGACCGCAGTTGCTGTTACGACTTCTTCGCGGTCTAGGGGTTGGAGTCAGGGTGCGAGCGGAGGCGGCAGAGGCGGCAGAGGTGGTGTGGTGAGCGGCGGTGGTGGGAGTACAGAGGTTGGAGGAGCGCCTCGTGCAGCGGCTAGTGACTCCTCTGCTGCAGCTGGTGGAGGTGACGCTCGGGTTCGTCAGGCACCTGCTGGTCCGCCAGCTGCAGGTGCTGGAGTGGCGGCTTGGTACCTGACTCAGCGGGAGCAGCAGCAGCAGCCACTCCTCTCACAGCAGCCACAGCAGCAGCAGGCTCTGGGGCAGGGGTCAGGACCGCATCAGCTGTCGCGTGGTGCCGTCCACCCTCCCTGCACCTATCTCGTTCAGACAGGTGCTCGCCAAGGCCTCCCTTGTGGCCGCACCCACCCATCAGGTCAGTGCTTTTCTCAGCTCATAGACCCACTTCATGCGGCATACGGCATTGGCGGCCCTGCTCCTGACCGGCTTCCCCTTGTTCAGACGTACGGCCCCGCTCTATGGGGCATGTCGGCTTCTCAGTTGCTTGATCTCTTAGGAACTCCTCATGTTATGTATGCTATTGTTCACTCTAGTGCTTCTGACTCTGTTTACTCGAGTGTTGTTAGCTTAGGTGCTAGTGTTGCTAAAGTGCCTTTTGCTAGCGTAGGTACTTGTGTAGACACTAGTTCAGGAGCTGCTCCGGAGGACACTTCGCTGTCTTTCAATCTGGACTCTAGAGCTTCGCACTGTTTCTTCCGCGACCACATTACGCTTGCTCCGCTTCCTGCGCCGGTCTCTGTGGCACTAGCTGATCCTACTACGGGACCAGTCACTGCTCGCTACACTGCTACGCTTCCGTGCCAAGCAGTTCCCCCGGGTTTCCTGACGGGCTTCTACGTCCCCTTGTTCTCCCGGAATTTGGTGGGTGTGAGGCCGCTCATGAGTAGTCACGTGGGTGTGTGGATTGAGCCTTTTGGCGAGACTGTGGTTTGTGTCGACGGGGACACGTTCACGCCTCTGGCCACACCGCTGAGACGGGCTCTGGTCTCTACACACTTCACACTGGCCCCCGAGGACAGCAGCAGCAGCAGGAGCTGCCTCCGACCCCTTTCACTGCCCCCCGTCAGGTCCCCGCGTCTGACCAGGTTGCCGCCTCCCACCAGGTAGCTGTGTCTAGTCTGGTTCCAACGTCTAGTCCGGCTGCTGCCCCTTGCTCGTGTCGGTCGCTTGCCCACCCCACCGTTCTGTTGCACCACCGCCTTGGGCACCCGTCCATTCCTCACTTGCACACTTTGTCTAGTGAGCGTCTCGTCTTAGGCCCCCCGCGAGTCTAGCCGTCGCTACCGCCTTCGCCTGCACCACCTTGCGCCCCTTGCGTCGAGGGTCGGCTGCGCGCCACCCCTCAGTCCTCCTCCCTTCGCCCGGCCACCGAGCCCTTCGAGACTCTCCACTTGGACGTCTGGGGCCCCGCCCCTCGCCCTGGCCCTGAGTGAGAGAGTTTCTTTCTGGTGGTCGTTGACGACTACTCTCGCTACACCACAGTGTTCCCCCTGGCGAAGAAGTCTGAGGTGACTCCTACGCTGATCCGGTGGTTGCTTACCACTGCGGACACTTGTGATCGTCGTGTCAGCTGTCTTCACTCCGAACGCGGGGGTGAGTTTCGCTCCGGCATTCTCGCTGGATTCTGTCGCGAGCAGGGCATCCGTCAGTCCTGGACGCTTCCAGAGTCCCCACAGTACAACGGGGTTGCCGAGCGCCGTATAGGCTTGGTCATGGAGATCGCACGCACCTCTATGATCCACGCCCGTGCGCCCCATTTTCTGTGGCCCTACGCGCTTCGGTATGCCGCTCACCAGCTGAACCTCTGGCCACGTGTCTCTCGGCCAGAGGCTTCACCGACCAGTCTTTGGACCGGGTCCCCTGGTGCTGCATCGCGTTTTTGTGTCTGGGGCTGCTTGGCGCTTGTTCGTGACACCTCCGCGGATAGGCTCTCTCCTCGGGCCCTTCCCTGTATCTTCCTTGGTGTCCCTAAGGACTCCTTTGACTTCACCTTTTACCACCCTCCCCTTCACCGGTTCTTTGACTCCCGCGACGTTCGTTTTGTCAAGCCAGTGTCCTACTACACCCGGTACCCGTGTCGAGGTCTTTCGGTTCCTCCTCCCCCTCTCTTCCTAACTCCCGCCCCCCCTCCTGCCCCTCCGGTACAGCCCGCCCCCCCCCTGGTCCAGCCCCGTCAGGTGTGTCACACGCTACCTCCCCCCCCCCCCCCCCCCCCCCCCCCCCCCTTTAGGTGCCGTCCCCTTCCCCACAGTCCTGGTCACAGCCTACTGCAGACCGTGCGGGAGCAGGTGCTCGTGCCTTGGGGGTACTACCTCTGGAGATGTTGGAGTTGGAGCTGAGACCGTGCCTGCACGAGGCCCTCGTGCTGGGGGTGCTGGAGTTGGAGCTGAGCCCGTGTCTGCAGGAGGTTCTAGTCTTCGGGGAGCTGGTGTTGGTCGAGCTGTCCATGGGGGTGCTACGACTGGGAGTGCGGGTGCACCCACTGCGGGACGTGGAGAGTTTGGGACTTGCCGCGTTACTGTTGGTGGTGCTGGCTCTGGGGGTGGTGCGACTGGTGCTTTGGAGAGCAGTCCTGGAGTTACCACCGCCCCGGGAACTATTTCTCCCCCCAACCCCTACCCAACCCGGCACCAGGCCCATCGTCACCTTGCACGTTAGGAGCAGCTGGAGTTGGAGCGAGAGGGGCTAGAGTTGGAGCGGCAGCAGCTGGAGCTACAGGAGTTGGAGGACCGGCAGCAGCAACAGCAACCACAGCTGCAGGAGCAGTTTGTGAGAGTACGACGGCTTATGCCAGCTATGCTTGCTTGCCTTTACTTTATTATGCTTTTTCTAGCATAGGATAATTATATGCATGCATGAATTGCTTGATTTCCTAGACTAGGTGCTTTCCTATATTTTATTATAGTTCTAACACCGAGCTAGGTTGCGTGCACCGAATTCTGGCTTTTCGGTTGACACCGAATTGCCTTCTACCGAATTCAGGAAGGATCTGTTCGAGACGCTTCGCGACCCTCAGAACCTTTGCGTAACACCTGGTTACTGGGCCTTGTGTCGAGCCTATATACAGCCTCGTGTTGTACCCAGGTGATCATTCAATTACAATTCTCTTTTCTGAGCTCGATCCTAGATCCTGACACTTGGTAATCAGAGCCTGTTTTGAAAAGATTAGAAGGTAGAGAAGTTTAGAATGAAGAAGAAGAGGGGGTTCACTAGAAAGCAGCAGGATACATATAGGAAACCCTAAGGGGTTGTACTCGCTATAGAGTACCCCACTGCAGGCTAGAGAACAATGACATTCTGACACACCCCCATAGCCAAAGTGGGGTGTAATCAGCAGAGCAAGCAAAGCAGAACAAGCTCAGGGTGGATCACAATGTCACCACACATTCTGAGCACAAGTACAAGAAGCAATAGTTTAAAGTTCACAATTATGAGCAAAGCTAGAGGCTATCGCAGAGGGCAAGTGAGGAGGAGGAGGCGAGAGTGAGAGGAGAGGAGATAGGAGGCGACGGCTGAAGCTGCAGACACACGGGCAACACGAGTCACACTGGCACAGCGGCTACCGGAACAACGCTCCGGACTACTGGAGTAACTGGCTTCGCGGCTAAAAGTAGCGGCAGACGAGCAACGGACCCACGGGCGACTGGCACAGCTGGCTGCGACTGGGCTACCGGAGCAACTCCCCGGACTACAGGTGCTGCTGGCGACACGACGGCAACCTCAGTTCAACCTCCCCAAACAGTCCCACTCCCCCTGACACACACCCCCTGCTTCACCCCTAGCTCCACTCCCCCTTCACCCCCCTTAGTACCACTCCGACGGCTCCAACAGGTCCACCCCCCTCAGCGGCAGCTGCAGCACTGGGAGACGGAGGAGGAGGAGGAGCAGGGGACGGCACACAGAAGCTGCACCCCGATACCCCTCACCCCCAAACCCTAATTCAGGAGAACGGGCAGCAGCAGGGGTGGGGCGCCATCAGAAGCACGGGGGACAGCGGGCAGCGCAGGGGCAGCGAAGAACGGGCCGCCCACGGGCCTGGCACAGCCGCCCGAACCGCGCGCAGGCGGCCCGAGCCGCGCGCGGGCCTGGCGCAGCCCGTACGGGCCGCGCGCGGGCCTGGCGCAGCCCGTACGGGCCGCGCGCGGGCCTGGCGCAGCCCGTACGGGCCGCGCGCAGGCTGTACG